TCTCCCACATGAATAGCAAGGATCCAAACCCTTGGGCCATCCTCTGCTACTTTTTCCAGGTCCTTAGCAGGGAGTTGGATCAGAAGTGCATCAGCCAGGACCCAAACTGGTGTACAGTCGGGAATGTCACAAACCCCAGGTTCTCTCTTTTCAATCACACTGGGCTTCATGGAAGGGATAACAGTGGGTCTGGAAAGGTGGCTCTCCAGCAGCAGCCCTTGCCCTCAAAGTGGCCAGAAACATAAAGTGGAAGGGGCTCTGGGGATCCCTGGAAGGACTGGGCTTTCTTCAACAAATGACAGTTCAAGTTTAAGTGGAAGCAGTGGCCTGAGGCGTTCTGGATGGGATGAGGGACCAGTGGCAATGCAGGGGTTGGGGGAGGGTTCCAAGGGCTTCATGTTGTCCTCCGTGATGGACAGCACCTTTGATCCTGGAACTGGGGTTCATAAACAGCAGCCCAGTCTGGGGCAGTCAATGGTGGTTGATAGCCTCCTGAGCTGACCTGGTCCAGCAGCAGAGGGCAGGACAGGTTTACTGTCCAGCAGATTTATCCCCCTCAAGGCAACCCTGGGGACCCTTAAATCACCATAATGGGAAATACCATTGAGAGAATCAGAGACAAGTAGGAGCGCGCCTATGGCCTGGGACTTCCTGCTGGCTGCTCCTCAGGTTACAGTCCTTTGCAGAGAGGGATTTACAACCGTGGAGCCTGCAGGAGCCGAGCAGCCACCCCGGAGCCAGGAGGGAAGGCTGGAGAAGAGCCGAGCCAAGACAGTGCTGATGCCCTGTGCCAGCAGGGCTCTAGGAGCAAGTGGCCATCTTCCGGCTTCCTCAGACTCCCCCATATGGGTACAGCAGATACTGGGCAGTACCACCTCCCGGCCAGCCAGGCCATGTGTAGCGACTCTGGGTGTACAGGAGTCCATGATGCTCCTTCTCTGGATGCGTTCCATGTCTGTTTGGGAGATCCATGGGCAAATAGGTACCTGGTGTAATGCCACCATTTCTCATCGCACTCGAGCACTGTGCTGGGAATGGGCATTGCACATGTAAGAGGTCAGGAACACAGGGGAATGGGTTCCCTCTCTCTGAACCTGCTTAATGAGACAGAGGACAGGTGAGGTTGAGAGTGGGAAAGACCTGGAGAAGAGCTGCTGCAGCAACTGCTGTTGTTTAATAGGAAGGCAACGTCTGATGGCTGAAAGGAATGAGAGAGCTTAAAATGTGAGCAAGGGGTGGGTGGAAGCAGACCTAAGGGAGAGAGAAAGAACTGAAAGGAAAGACCTGGATGTCTAAACAGTGCAGCCAAGCGTGTCCCAGTGAGGTAAGAGAGAATAGGAGGGAGAGAGAAGAGAGGAGGCACACAGAGAAAAGTGGAAAGGAAAGGAAAATGGAAAAGGTGACCCAAGAAGGGAGGAATCAGGTGAAGCAGCAGCCAGGAGCACCATCTGCTCTCCAGGGAACAGGGGCCTGGCCTAGGCCATGAGTGACAGTTGGCTCAGCAGCAGGACCCAGAGCAACCTGCCCTCTGGCCACTCCCCTACCACATGCTGGTAGCCACCCAACCCTAGCCCAGAGCACAAAGAGAATAAAGGCCAGCTGCAAAGAGGATAGCAAACCTTGCCACTTTGGGGATTTCACTCAGGGGAGGAGGTCTCTGCCCTCAGACACAGGTGGACTGATATGCACGCAGAGTTCACCTGCAAAGCCTACCAGGTATCCAATGCACAAGGAATCCATGCAGGGCAACGTCTCCCTCTGTCTGGGCCCTACACATTTTTAGGAATGCTTCTCTAGGTACCATGCGATTCATGTGTTGAAGATAGCAAATTTGGTCCAAGTTGCCTCTTCCTATAGTCCCAGTGGTTCTTTGACTCTGCTGAATCTTTGAGTCCTTGAATTTGCTGTACCGGGTTTTCTAGCTGGGCTCTACCGGCATGAATCCAGAATGCAAGGTGCAGACTTCTGACACAGGGCCTGAAATTCCCTTCTGTAAACTGCAAAGCCCACCTTGTGGGTCTCTGTGTTTGTGGATGCCCCTGTGTATCCACACAGCTCTGAGTGTCACAAAGCATTCAGCAAGATCAAATGCTAGGCAGGTTAAGCCATATGACAATTCCCCAGGTGTGACATGTGTCAAGAAAAGTACCCTGGCTGTCTGTGACTGTGCCCTCTTCCTGTCTTTCACCAGCCAAAATGCTGGACAGTGCCCCAGGACTCAGCCTCATCTGTACCTCCCATGCCCCTCTGGCTGAACAGAGCACTTTAACTGGTCTGCTGTCAGCTAACTCATACATGCCAATGATGTGATAAAATCAACGCCTGCTATGGTAGGCAGGCTACCAGAAGGCCCTCCATGATCTGCTCTGCTGGTACCCATGCTTCTGCATAATGCCCTCCCTCCAGATGTGTATGGGGCATGTGAATGACCTGCTGCTGAAAGAACCTGGCAAAGGTGATAGAATGTCACCGGTGTGATTACTTTGCACTGTGTAAGACTTGGTTATGTTGATTAACTCAGGCTGGACAATCTCCTTGAAAAAACATGAGGCAGGGTTGGAAAAGTAAATGTGGGAGGCAACTGTGGGCAACTTCCAACCAACACTGTCCAAGAGGTGGCAGCCTTCGATCCTGCAACCGTATGGATACTGCCCAAAAAGACCCCGATGAAGTGAGTTTAGATGTGGATTCTTCCCCTGTCTAGCCCAGCCAGCATCTTCATTGCAGCTCTTTGATACTCCAGAGGGGACATGGGTAAGTCATGCCACAGACTGCAGCACAGTGGTGCTGTGTCCCAGCTGCTGTTTACAGCAGTTGGACAGCAACACAGAACAGATACCAGGTGCTCATTCCTTGGTACGATAAACTTGATTGTGCTATTGCAGCCCTAGTGTACCTTTCCTTAATTGAGTTTCCGTTTTGATGTAGATTGAACGGGACTCCACAGACTCCTGCTGCCATTTAAACCCTATTGTATGGGACTGGCATTATAGTATAGTAGGTAAAGGGAAAAAAAGCCACTATCTGCAATGCTGGCACTTCATATAGATGTCAGTTCATGTCCTGGCTGCTTCACTTCAGATCCAGCTCCAAGCTAATGCATTTGGGAAAGCAGTGGAAGATGACTCAAGTGTTTGGGATCTTACACCCATGTTACCAATCTGGATAAAGTTGCTTACTTCAACTGGCCACCCAGCACTGGTCATTGCCGCCATTTGGGAAGTAAACCAATGGATAAAAGATTGTGTGTGTGTGTGTGCATGTGTGTGTACCCCTCCCCCCATGTAACTCTGGCTTTCAAATAAATCTTCAAAATAAGACAGGCAGCAGCTAAATGAGGGGTAGAATTTGGAAACAGTCCACTCAGAGAGATGATTTACCAGCTTCTGCCTGCCCCTGCCACAGACCCCACCCTGGGAGACATAAACTCATTTCCAACACCGGTCATGCGGTCCTTACCTCTGACCCTCCCTAACTCCTGTGGCTGAGGAGACACCATGACCAGATCCCCGTGTAACAGGAAGAAAGCCTGAACTTTAGCCAGGCAAGGTGCATCAGCCTTGTTCTCACAGCCAGACAAGGGTAAGGGGACTAGGACAGAGGGTGAGGGCCGTCTCCAGGGATGTGGGCCTGGCTTGCTCCTCTCCTTCAGTCCCCACCCTCCATCTCCAGCCCAGCATGGAAATTTTTACAGCCCTAATATTTCAGGGACATCCATGCAGCAGGGAACCCGGGCTGCCTCAGCGGTTTCCTGCCCCTCACATATACACACAGAGTGCAAAGGTACTTCAGCACTCAGCAAGGACCACTCTATCACACCAATAACACAGAGGAGGCCCAGCTTTCTCTGTAGCCTGCAGGGATCTGGCTCTCCCATGCTAACCCCAGGGCCCTTGAAGGCGCCTATCTGCTTAGTCCGGTCAGCTGCGCCCCAGCTCCGTGCTGCTGCTTGCTTTTCACAGTCGCACCCTCCTCTCTCTCTCAAGGCTCTGGGCTCTGTGCTGGTTCTGACTAGCACCAGAGGACTCCTGGGGGAGCTTTGGGCACTTTTGGGCAGGCAATGGGAGCCCAGGGGTACCTGCCTATGGGTGAGACCAGAGCTAGTGATCCTTACTCTGTAACTCTGTACAGCTCTTTTGTGTGAGGCTGGGGGTCTTACCATTCAGGCCAGCCTATCTCCCTGTCCTCCAACTCAGCCCCCTTTGACGTTCCTGCCCCTGAAGCATGGAAGTACACACAAGCAAATGGCAAGGACACCTCCACACAGTCAGCAGGGGCAGCCACCTGACCATCCTCTTGGTTGACAAGGCTTAGGGATAGGCACTAAAGTCTGAGTGTGGAGCAAAATACATCCACATTGCCTTTTCTTACAGAGGAGAAAGTGTATCTGCTTGGAGCCCTGGCCACTCTGGGCCAATGGGGTTACTGACACCCTAGGAAGGTGCTAGGCATACTCAAGCAGAGCTGTCCATGCCAGGGAGGGAGTGTAGACTTTGACTGTCCCTTTAGGGGTAACTTTGGGTGATGAGATGGGGTTGGACACATTTCACAGTGGGGTGAGTCCTTAGGTCCTAGAGGGGAAAGGGTCCAAAAATCCTCCACCTGCTTTGAACTTTCAAAAAAGCAATGTGGAAACAGATTAGCAATTGAGGGTTCCAGCTCTACTCCCAATTCCAACTTCCTCCTAATGAAGACCCCGGGATGCAGCAGCAGCTGATGGCTTAAGTATTTGGGTCTCTGACACTTTCCTGAAAGACCTGAATTGAGTTCCTGGCTCCTAGATTCTTTCTGGTCTAACCCCAGCCATTTGGGGAGTTAGAGAATGAATGCATGAATACATTCTCTTCTCTTTCACTCACTCTCACTCTCTCTCATTCATTCTCTGGCTCATAAATTTTAAAAAGAAGGAAAAAAGAGGGGTGTGGATGCATCTACATTAGGAAGCAGTAGTGTGAAAAGTCATCAGGGAACTTGTAAAGTTGAAGCTAGGAGAATTTTAGCTAGTGAGTAGGATGGTCCAGTTTACAGGTTAGCAGACTCCTCCTCTGTCTTCACAGCTGTCTCCACCTCCTTCTCCTCTTTCTCTTTCTCCTTCTGCTCCTGGGTATCGCATGAGCCCTGGGGCCATGACCTCAGGCTCTGCTCTCTGGCCATTTCTGCACACCATTGCTCTGCCAAGAGGGACTGTGCCAGCTGCTCCAGGTCCTGTAGGCTTACCCTCTGCAGGCGCCCCTCATGCTCTTGTCTCAGCAGCTGCAGCACAGCCTTGGCATCCTGCGGCCCAAAGTGTTTGGCCAGGACCCGGTCCAGCTGCTGCCACAGGGGCTGGGGCTGAGGAGCGTTCTCCAGCTCTACCTTCTCCAGGGGCCGCACAATGACATTGATGGAGGCATTGGGCCCGATGCAGTAATCCGAGAGGCACTTGTCATCTGCCAGGAGCTGGCCACGAAACAGCAGGTGCTGCTGCTCCTCAGGCACCTGTAGCTGCTGTGACACCAGCTTCTTCAGTGCGGCCACACTTTCTTGTCCCGACACCTTCACACTGCATCTCCGGCCCAGGAGAAGTTTGACTGTGAGTAACATTGAACCAAGGGTGGCACGGTCAGGAGGGATCCATGCTCTGGACGTTCCCTGGGGATCACAAGGGAGCCGTGATCCTAGGAGGCCAAGGGCCAACCCAGGTGCAAAGCCATTGGCCACTGGACAGTGATGTCACAATGCCATGGGAGGGCTCATTTGCACAAAGACACTATAGGGATGGGTTTATGGGGTGGGGGTGGGGGGGTGGGTGGTATGACTGATGGGAACAGAGAGCATGATTCATCTGAGAAGAGGAAACAAGGAGAAAGTGAGTGGGGACAGGAAGGAAACTGTAGCACTGGGAGAAAAGCAGGTGATGACCAGAACCACAACATTTGGACAGATCAACCTGGGTGCTCAGCGACACCTGAGTGTTGAATGATGCCTTCTCTGTGCGAGGGCATGGGTCTGCATTGGAACGAACACCTTGGGCCTCCAGGATATTTGCAGCAGGCAGGCCCTGACAAGGCAACTCCCTGAGACAGGGATAGGAGTGTGAACTCCAAAAAGGAGAAGTTAAAGGATAAGTTTGTTTCACTGTAAAGCAATTGTGAAATCCTTACATGCTCACAAGGTGAGAAGAGACACCTGTAGGGGACAGGAAGGAAGGAAGGAAGGAAGGAAGGAAGGAAGGAAGGAAGGAAGGAAAGAAGGAAGGAAGGAAGGAAGGAAGGAAGGAAGGAAGGAAGGAAGGAAGGAAGGAAGGAAGGAAGGAAATGAGGGAAGGAGGGAAGGAGGGAAGGAGAGAGGAAGGAAGGAGGGAAGGGAAGGATGGAGGCTGCCCTCCCACACAGCTGGGTGTCATCTTGCCAGGAGTCCAGAGACCACATAGGAGACCCCTGGCTGGGTCACTGGACAGTACAGAAGCTGGCTCGTGATGCTCTGTCTCTTGTTTTCCAAGAGCAATCTCCTCACTGTCTGGGCCACAGCTATGCCAAGTGTGTTGCTGGGGCCCAAGAAGACCTGGGGTGGTGGATGGCAGCGATGTGCAGGGGCCAACAACAGAAAATTGTCAGGTCTTCAGGCACATGAGTTTGCAGGAGGGATAGGGCAGGTCCACAACAGTGAACTCGGCTCATGTCCTCCACCTTACATCCACCCATGCCACAGTTGAGGGTTCCTCCTAAAGTAAGGCCCAGTCACTGCCCTGAACCACAGTGTCCAGGCTGCTCTCTAGGGCCTGTAGAATCGCTCTTGTGGCCTGACCCTGCCTACCACCACAGCCTCAGCACTCCCCACTTACAACCTGCATTCCACTCACAACCACCTGCTCACTCCTTGTCCCCTTCCAACCCATCCTTCAAAGCTCTGATCTCTAATCACGGCCTCCAGGAAGTTTCTCTGTTTTGCCCAGGTCTGGGCAGAGGTGATCCCAGCCTGCTATATGTAACCTTCCCTCCTCTGGAACATTCCTGAGCTGATGTACCTAGTATAGTTCTGGATCTCCTTTGCCCACTCTGCATTTTACTATCCCCTGCCTCCAACACACCAAGCCCGGTACTTAGAAAGTCTTGAGAAATGAAGAAAACAACATGCAGACCGACAATTTCTGGCATGCAGGGCCCAGTGCAGCAGCCATGGACAGACACCGGCCTGTAGCTGCTCCTCATCTCCACCTTCTTGCCTAGAGACAGGAAAAGCTGAAATTATGTTAAAAAAAAAAAAGTACAACATATCTTGATTCCAGTCTTTACCAAAGGATCTTCTCTAAGTAGTTCTTTCAACAGCTAACTCCCCTGGTGCATTCAAAATAGGAATTTGCAAACACACACACACACACACACACACACACACACACACACACTGATCCACAGAAGTCGACCAAGATGATGATGATGTCAGCAGGGCATCCAGGCAGAGCAAGCTGGGCAGTGGATGAAATTTCTCACCCCATTGCCTGGGAACTCTCTACCTCTACAGGACAAGACCCTGGGGTGGCCAAATCATCAGGTGGAGCAGGACTGGGCCATCTTGTGGCAAGTGCCCAGAGCAGAACTATTCTAGAAAGGCTGTCTGGAGAGTAGGAAGCAGAAGGAAGAGGAGATGGGAACCAGAGTGCCCCGGAATCTCTCCCAAGCTATGGGGGCTTCTGAGGAAGACAGGAGCCAGAGTTCTGAGCTTGCAGGAAGATGCAAATCAGATGCAAATCAGATGCCTTCCTCTCCCCTCCATTTTACTTCCACAGCCTGGATGGGACTCACTGGAGAAGACATTTTGAGCCTGGGCTTCCAGAAGCACCGAAGAGTCACACAGCCCTGTCCCTGCATGTAGGTGCAGGTACGGACCCAGTGACAGAGGCTGTGTGGGTCACATTCTCCATATCAAGGCACCTGACAGGGCCAGCAGCCCAGTGGAAAGCGTAAGGCAGGCACTTCAGAGCATAGGGCATCAGGAGAAGCTAAGAGAGATGGTCACCACCCAACCACTGCACCTGCACCCTGGAGCTGCACTTGCTGCCCCTTAGAGGGACAGTAGGGGTAGCTGGCCACACCCTCACATCACATTTGAAGCCTGGAAGCTCCTGCCTCCTGGCTTCAGAACAGCTCAGCTCCAACCATTTCAGCTACCTGGGGAGTGAACCAACAGATGGAAGGTTTTTCGTTGTCTCTCATTCTCTCTGTAAATCTGCCTTTCCAATAAGAACAAGTACATCCTTAACAGCAAGAAAAAGGAGAAGGAGGAGAAGACTATTTGATCCCAGATTCCTCATAATTTGCACCCTAGAGAGGCAGCAGGTAAATACTTGAGTTCCTGCCTAGCCCAGCTGCTGGGGACTTTGCAGAATGGCCATCAAATGAAAAATCTGTTTCTCTCTCTCTCTCTATCTCTCTCTCTCCATGTTAATGTTTATTTATTTATTTAAAAGGCAGAATTACACAGAGGAAGACCTTTCATCTGTTGGTTCACTCCCAATGGGCCAGAATGCCCATATCTGAACCTGTCCAAAGCCAAGAGCCAAGAGCTCCTCAGGGTCTCCCACCTGGGTGCAGGGACCCAAGCACTTGGGCCATCCTCTGCTGCTTTCCAGGTATGTTAACAGGGAGCTGGATCAGAAGTGGAGCAGCTAGGACACAAACCCCTACCGCACAGCACTGGCTTCTCTGTTTCTGTCTTTCAAATAAATAAACTTGAAAACCACTAATGTGTTATAATAAGTAAACATTCAAAGAAAACTAAGATGTCATAGCCCCTGCCCATCTCAAGTGTTTAGTTGTAACACTTGAGTCATGTGGAGCTAGCCTTCCAAGGAGTGCCCTGGGCAGGAGCTGGGAGACACTGGGAAAGAGACAAAAGCAAGTGGGACATAGACAGGCTGAGAGAGGAAAGGAAGGAGCACAAGCACTGAGCGCTGGAAGTACTCAGATGGAACACACACACACACACACACACACACCAAGGAGAGGAGAGGAGGAAGGGTTTGGGGGTTAGGGCAGGTGGGGAAAAGCCAGAAGGGCTCCTTCTTAAGCCCCCCTGCAGGCCACCCTGCCTAGAATCTGAAAACAAGTCCTGAGAACACTCCGGCAGAAGTGGAATCCACTGGGGAAATTGTCTATGGAAAGAGCTGGGGTGGGAACCTGAATGATTCCTAGCACACCCTGCTGCTTCCAGCCTCTTCCCCCACAACCCCATCCTTCCACAGCTCATGGAGCAACCCAAAGTGCCTGTACTCCGCAAGGCACTGGTCAGGACAGGATGGGCAAGGCAATGGGTGAGAGGTCAGGATGTCCTCCACCACGCCTGCTCACAATCTAGATGGGCCCATTCCCTGCCCCTCATCTACTGGTTGGCACTGGTTGGCTCAGCCACTGCTCCCTCCATGGGTCTTGGGGACCGAGGCTGAAGTGGAAAAGTTGGAGAGATGATCTGGAGCCCTGAGGAAAGCAGCTGATCACAGGGACCCACCGGAGCCCAGAGGATGCCAGTTGCAGCCCAGACCCTGCCAGGCCTTGACCATTAACCAGACATCCCTACTTCTGCCCTATGTTGCCATTCCGGAGCCCTAGTAAAGTCTCACTCTGGCTGGAAGCCATTTGGAAGCCCCCACCCAGAGGCGAAAAAACATGCACACTGTGGAAAATTTAGGGAGGCTGCAGCCTGCAGTGACCACTAGATGTCACTGGTGACCTCTCTAGCCCACCAAGAGGGCCTGGGGTCTACTCACAAGACTGGACCCAGGATGGAACTCCCTGCTCCCGCCCAAAGGTGAGCCCTCCCTTCCAGCAGATTTCCCCTCCTGGACATGCTGGGTCATTCACAGACATCCATGCCCACTCTGGACAGGGTACAAGAGGAACTGCACCCTTGTTGGCTACACAGAGGAAGACACGAACTTGAACTCTGACTTCCAGTCAGGATTCTGGGAAGGCCAGCAGGCGTGGACCTGAGCTGCTGATGGCTCCAGGCAGGTCCTTCTAGGTAACACTGTGAGGCCTTGAACGAGGGGTGGATATGTTCAAGAGAGGTTGCCACCCATTGGCATGCATCTCATACAGACATTTTTATAAAGAAATAAAAGAACTTAAAACCAGGCCCGGCGTGGTGGCGCAGTGGTTAAGGTCCTCGCCTTGCATGCTCGGGATCCCATATGGGCGCCGGTTCTAATCCCGGCAGCTCCACTTCCCTTCCAGCTCCCTGTCTGTGGCCTGGGAGAGCAGTCGAGGACGGCCCAAAGCTTTGGGACCCTGCACCCGCGTGGGAGGCCTGGAAGAGGTTCCTGGCTTCGGATTGGCATAGCATCGGTCCTTGCGCTCACTTGGGGAGTGAATCATTAGACGGAAGATCTTCCTCTCTGTCTCTCCTCTCTGTATATCTGCCTTTCCAATTAAAAAAAAAAAAAAGAAGAAGAAGAACTTAAAACCAACAGGGGCCAGCCTTCTTTCCTGGAGCCCAAATGTCTGAGTTAAACACCCACATCACACTGATTGCTCTGTCCTGGTGGGCATGGAACATCTCCTTAGCCCATCTACATTCCTAACTGTGTGGTTTAGGCTGGAAAAATCACT